TGTATTCCATCATTTAGCCAATGGTTACAAACCACCTCCCACTGAGAAAGAGAAAAAGCTGCCTGTGAAGATGAGACTCATTACTAGTTAGATCAGCCCTCTGTATACCACAGCTGCTTTTGGTGCAAGGCAGTAGAATTGGGACCCTGCATGTAACCTTCCAGCGTTACCACCTTCTCATGCAGCAAATTCTCCGGCAAAAAAAATGTTTTTTTCCTTTTAATTACTGTCAGCCAAGAACAGCAGTCCTTAAATCAACTATGAGAAATTGGAAAAGTAAAACATACCCTCAGTCTAGATGCCAAAATGTAGAAACATGCAAAATATATCCCACTGACACAATATATTGATTACACTCCATTATACAAAAGGTTTTCAACTAATCAGAAAATACACTCCTCCTCACAGCACTGAGCCTCAACTTCCATTTCTGAGCACCTCCAAGCAGCCTGAAGTCTCCAAATACCAACTTCCCTCTTTCTGTCTAGTTATTTATATGCTGTTCTCATCACCATGGTATCCAAGAGCTTAGTGATATTACTAAGCTAAAATTCAGGAGAAAAAGCCCTGAGGTCCAGTTTCAGGGATATGGTTACAATGAAGCCTTAACAGAACAGCGAATTCCAGGTGTGCCAGGCCTTTTTATGCAAAGGCATGTTTTGAACATTTCTTTTGATTACAATACAAACAGCTGTTCCTTAAAATAACTCAAGCGACTTTGAAAGTTCCCAAGATTTCTTTCATGTGAATGATACTTAGCACTTTTATATAACTACATGCTTAAGAATCTTTAAGTGCACCAAAACCACTAAACTGAGCAACACAAACGTTTGTATTAGATAGGTAGCATCCATTATACACATAAGAAAACTGAGTTAGAGAGGTCAAGTGACTTTCTAAAGGTCTCAGAAAATCAGTGGCAAAGCTAAGAATAGAACCTAAGGATTCCAACTGCCAGTGCCTTGAACTACTAGACAACACTACCTCTCAGATCAGGGAATAGACAGGAGGTCAGACTTCCAACCCCCTGGTTAATCATTAGATTGAACAGCCTCATTTAGAATCATAGAATATCAGGGTTGGAAGGGACCTCAGGAGGTCATCTAGTTCAACCCCTGCTCAAAGCAGGGCCAATCCCCAGTTTTTGCCCCAGATCCCTAAATGGCCCACTCAAGGATTGAACTCACAACCCTGGGTTTAGCAGGCCAATGCTCAAACCACGGAGCTATCCCTCCCCCTTGCAATGCCTTTGTTCCTTTCCCTGGCACACCTGTATTCAATGAGAAAAAATAATGAATGGGATTAACTAATGTGAAGGTACAGATTCACTAAAATTCCTTTAAGTAATACCAAGCCAAGAATACTGTGACTGCCCAGCCAGCTGCTTCTGGTGGGGCTCGGAAGAAAGGAATTTACCTTGAGAGCTCTGACTGAGCCTGGCTGAGGAGCGGGTCACACGGGCGGATCTTCGCGACGTGCCATCACTTTCAGAGCTGTCCGTGTGCTCAGGATCTGTAGAGAAATCGGAGTCTTCGGTTCCATCTGAACTACTGCCTGCATTCCTCTGGAACACCACAGACCCAGACATTAGCACAGGAGCACTTCTACTTGCATTAATACTAGAAATAAGATAATTTCAATACACAACAAAAACAAACTAATGGCATTCAGGTAGTTTGCTCTGGAGGAAAAGCACGCTTTAGTACTATAAACATGAGATATCAGACAGTACCATCCATAATACAAGATTTTTTGCAAACAGATCAGGTCCATAAAGCTACAGATGGCACCAATTTCATTTAAGAACATACTTGAAGTAGAGCCAAGGCCCAGTGCATCCTAGTGATGTGCAAGCACTGGCAGAGTTAGCAGTGGGGAAGACGGGACCCAAGACTACCTGTTCTGACCAAATGACCATTCACTTGCCCCACTGGAGCAGGGTTTGGGGTCCAGAGCGGGAGTGATGTGAAAGAAAGCCCAGGACTGAGTGAACATGCAGGGTTTCATGCCATGGCAGGTTGATGAATGCAGGTGCATCACCTTGAGTCTTCTAGATGCTCCTATATACAGGGAGTCCCAGCTACACAACCCTGGGATTTGGGAAGGAGCCCAGGAGAATCTGAGGGGGTAAAGAGGGGAGCATACGGGGTAGCTGATGAAGTCCATCAAGGGTGAGCTTTGGCAGTGCACAATGGCATAGTGTAGAGGGAGGTATGGGGGAGGGGTGAGATAAAAGCAGTCCTGTGGGAGTGGTACAGTATAGCAGGAATATCTAAAGCAGCACACATTGTGGGTGCATATATGACATACAGTGAAATATGGGGGAAGAAATAAGGCCAATTGTAGGAGGGTGGCATAGACACAAGAATGGGGAGAGCTAAGGCAATCGGCGCGGTACAGGAAAGTGCCTGGGGAGGGGAATTAATGCAGCCCAATGCAAAGGGATACTATAGAGGAGCGTATGGGGGAAGAGCAAGGCAGTCCTGTGTGGGATGGTATAGAGGAGAGTATGGGGGAAGAGTAAGGCAATCCTGCGACGGGGGGGTGCTCTAGAGCAGTGGTTCTCAACCAGGGGTACTATACCCTTGAGAGGGAACAAAGAGGTCTTCCAAGGGGTACATCAACTCAGCCAGATATTTGCCTAGTTTTACAACAGGCTCCATAAAAAGCACTAGCGAAGCCAGTACAAACTAACATTTCATACAATGACTTGTTTATACTGCTCTATAGACTATACATGGAAATGTAAGGACACTAGTTATATTCCAATTGATTTATATAATAATTATATGGTAAAAATGAAAGGCAGCAACTTTCCAGTACTAGTGGGGCTGTGACACTTTTGTGGTTTTAGGTCTGATTTTGTAAGCAAGTCGTTTTTAAGTGAGGCAAAACTTGGGGGTGCGCAAGACCAATCAGACTCCTGAAAGGGGGGGTCCAGTAGTCTGGAACGATGGAGAGCCACTGCTCTAGAGGACAGTAAGGCAACCCTAGGGTGGGGAAGCTCTAGTGGGGAGTAAGGCAATCCTGGCCTGGGGGTGCCCTAGAGGAGCCCACGGGGGGGGGGGGGCACGCGCAAGGCAATCCTGGCCTGGGGGTGCCCTAGAGGAGCCCACGGGGGGGGGGGCACGCGCAAGGCAATCCTGGCTTGGGGGTGCCCTAGAGGAGCCCACGGGGGGGGGGGGCAAGCGTAAGGCAATCCTGGCCTGGGGGTGCCCTAGAGGAGCCCACGGGGGGGGGGGCACGCGCAAGGCAATCCTGGCCTGGGGGTGCCCTAGAGGAGCCCACGGGGGGGGGGGGCACGCGCAAGGCAATCCTGGCCTGGGGGTGCCCTAGAGGAGCCCACGGGGGGGGGGCACGCGCAAGGCAATCCTGGCCTGGGGGTGCCCTAGAGGAGCCCACGGGGGGGGACGAGGCAAGGCAATCCTGGCCTGGGGGTGCCCTAGAGGAGCCCACGGGGGGGGGCACGCGCAAGGCAATCCTGGCCTGGGGGTGCCCTAGAGGAGCCCACGGGGGGGGGGGCACGCGCAAGGCAATCCTGGCCTGGGGGTGCCCTAGAGGAGCCCACGGGGGGGGGCACGCGCAAGGCAATCCTGGCCTGGGGGTGCCCTAGAGGAGCCCACGGGGGGGGGGGGGGGCAAGCTAAGGCAATCCTGGCCTGGGGGTGCCCTAGAGGAGCCCACGGGGGGGGGCACGCGCAAGGCAATCCTGGCCTGGGGGTGCCCTAGAGGAGCCCACGGGGGGGGGGGGGGCACGCGCAAGGCAATCCTGGCCTGGGGGTGCCCTAGAGGAGCCCACGGGGGGGGGGGAGGCGCAAGGCAATCCTGGCCTGGGGGTGCCCTAGAGGAGCCCACTGGGGGGGGGGGAGGCGCAAGGCAATCCTGGCCTGGGGGTGCCCTAGAGGAGCCCACGGGGGGGGGGCGCGCAAGGCAATCCTGGCCTGGGGGTGCCCTAGAGGAGCCCACGGGGGGGGCAAGGCAGTCGGGGGGAGTAATGGAGACGAAATCCAGCGCTGCGCCCCTGTGCCTGGCTTGGGGGTGGGGTGCCCCTACCTACCCCTGCCGCAGCCGCTTTGTTTTGCCCCCGCTGCGTTACCGCTCGCTCGGGCGCGCTCCCCCGCCCCGTCCAACCAATCACGGCGGAAGAGGGGAGGGGCGGAGAGGAATCCTCTCCAATAGAAACATGAGTGAGAAAAAGGCGCGGCCCCCGGGCGTGACGGACGGGAAATTCCGGCCTATCCGCGTGCACCTCGCTGCCACAGACCCAGCCACTTAGGGAGGGCGGACTGAATGGGAGGGAAGGGAAAGCGAACGGGAGAAACAAGACACGCGTGGGGAGAGGACGGTGGGAGGGAGAGACGGCCAGCAATGTCGTCCAATCAGCGTCCAGCAGTGCCGTAAGGCGGAGCCAATCAAGGACCAGGTCTCCAAGTAGGTGTCCAATCAGAAAGGCAAAAAGGCGGAATGTTCCCCAAGAGGGGGAAGGGGAAAAGATGACCGTTGGGGCGATGAGTGATAGCAGCGATGACCAATCAGTGCTCAGCAGGCCCTACTGGGGAGCCATTCAGGTTGCAAGAGGGGCGGGTGCCAGGGGCTGAAGGCCGCTATTTTCGCTCGGTTTTCGTGCCTGTAGGGGGCTTTTCGTTGGGGGGCAAACGGGAGCAAACACGGTCTAACCCCTTTTCCCTCCCCAGGGCCTTTCCAGCCCGCCCGGCCCTGTACTCACCTTCCTGCGCGGCATCCTTGGTGGGGGCGGGGGCAGCGAAGGCGGTTGCTCTCCGGTGCCCCCGGCCCGGGAAGCGGCGGTAGCCGCCGCGTTAGCACCGGTGGGCTCCGTGGTGACAGCCGTGTCTCTCGTTCTATCCCGCTGACGGTCACTCCGCGCCAGGCCGCTCCTCCACCGCCAACAGACCCCGTTTCCAGCTAGGTCCCTCACGCTTCCGCCGGGACACGGTCCACACCCCCCGTCACGTGACTCGCATCTAGCCTCACGCCAGCGGCCGCCGCCATCTTGGATTCGGACAGGTAGCGTCAGGCTCTGTTGACGATGACGCTGGTGGCAGCCATTTTGGATGTGGGCACTGATATTTCCAGGTGGGGGGGGCAGCCCGCCATCTTGGTTTAGGGCATTAAGAAGGATTCGACCCTGTTGGCGCTCAAAGTTTGAAGGGACGCTGCGGACTCGGACACGATGTATTCCAAGGAGCCTGATGTCTGGGATGGATTGGGGCAGCCCCCGACTGCCTCTGAGGCCATGACCGGCTATCTTGGATGCTGTCACTAGAGCCCCTTGCTGGTTTCATTGATCGATTCGGTGGGAGTAGGTCGGTGAGTATCGACGATTTCCCTTTGGGAGGTGGGAGAGTGAGGTATTGTGGTCTCGGTACTGCACCTTGCCTTCCTCTCTTTCTGAACACTGGGGGCTTATGGGACTTCATCCCTGGGCTCTGTCTCCTCCAGACTGAGTCGGGTATCTGCTGCTGAGGCGGGGTAGGACAGGGGCTGTCAGGGGGAACTGGGAAACTGGCCTCCTGAGTTCTTTTTTACCCAGCTTGGGGTGGCACCGTGAGTTGGTGGATGGAGCACGTCACTAGGAGACCAGTGCTTATTGTAGGTTTGGGGCCTTAGGGTACTTTTCACATGAGAACTCACAAATGATAGCCCTTTCCTATTTCAGTGAGCCAACACAAAAAAGTCAAATTTCAGGGGCTTAAAAAAATGGCCCACGATTATATAGGCTACTATAGAAAGTCACGTACAGACATGAAAGTCGCTATTTTACAACAAAGAAACTTCAAATCCAGACTCCAGGGAGAAACTGCTGAATTGGAATTCATTTGCAAATTGGATACAATTAACTTAGGCTTGAATAGAGACTGGGAGTGGCTTAGTCATTATGCAAGGTAGCCTATTTCCCCTTGTTCCCCCCCCCCCCCATTCTTGTTAAACCCTGGATTTGTGCTGGAAATGGCCCACCTTGATTATCATACGCAATGTAAGGAGAGTGGTCACTTTGGATAAGCTATTACCAGCATCCGATGAAGTGAGCTGTAGCTCACGAAAGCTCATGCTCAAATAAATTGGTTAGTCTCTAAGGTGCCTCAAGTACTCCTTTTCTTTCTACCAGCAGGAGAGTTAGTTTGTGTGTGTGGGGCGGGGCGGGGGGGGGGGGGGGGGGGGGGGGTGAGACAACCTGGATTTGTGCTGGAAATGGCCCAACTTGATTATCATACACATTGTAAGGAGAGTGATCACTTTAGATAAGGTTTCAGAGGACACCTTTATCTTATTCCAAAAAGAATTTGCACCAGAGACTAACCAATTATTTGACATGACTGTGCACACTCTCATCAGATGTGTACCCAACACATCCACGGTACACATCTGATGAAGTGAGCTGTGCTCACACTCATCTCAAATAATTGTTAGTTCTAGCACAAGTACTCCTTTTCACTTTAGATAAGCTATTACCAGCAGGAGAGTGGGGTGGGAGGAGGTATTTTTTCATGCTTTGAGTGTATATAATAAGATCTTCTAAACTTTCCACAGTATGCATCCGATGAAGTGAGCTGTAGCTCACAAAAGCTTATGCTCAAATAAATTGGTTAGTCTCTAAGGTGCCACAAGTACTCCTTTTCTTTTTGCGAATACAGACTAACACGGCTGTTACTCTGAAACCTATAGAAAGTCACTTAGGCACTTTTGAAAATTTTGCCCATAGTGATGATTAGGGTGAAATTTTGCAAAAATAAACAAAAAAAACTTGGAACCCCAGTTCCCCCTTTACTATTTTCACACTTTGCTGTTCCTTAATCTGGCATTGAGATGCTGTCTGATAAAGTCACTTTACCTTTCCATGTCTCACTTTTCCCACCTTTCAAATAAGGATAATAATACTTCCTATAATGGATTGTAGGAATAACCCATTAATTTTTGCAATATGCCTAATAGATTAAGTAAAATCTACATTAATAATTATTTATTTATTATTTTGTTATGTTTTGCTGTTACAAACCTGAGAAGGAGAGAACTCTGTCAAATGGAACGTTTGTGTGCCAGTCACAAATAATGAAAAAGATTAAAAGAAATGGGGGAAATGTTATTAGATTTTTAAAATGGCAATTCCCACTAAATTATTATTGGTATGGGTAAACAGTTAATGAGCTAAAAGGTCATTGTGAGGTTTGTTTATCACTAAAATAATACTTGATGTTGTTTCTATTTCATTAGCACCATATTGCAGTAGGAAGATCTCTGAGTACTTTTTCAAAGAAACAAGCAAAAAAACCCCTCTCAACAGTCTTATGGGGTATTCTAGTTAAGGCCAGACCCACCCTAGAAACTTTTGCCATTATAGCATTTTTATACCAGCAAAAAGCCTTAGTGTAGACTCAGTTATGTTGGCAAAAAAATCATATTTTTGGGGGGAAGCTGGGTAGGAGCTATCCATTGCACTTCTACTGCAGGGAGATGGGGCCTTGCTGGTATAGTTATACCAGAAAATCCTTTCTAGCATAGACAATGCTTAAATGTTATCCCTATTTCTAGAAATATAACAGAACGCCACTAGCTGTCACCTTCAGCCCCCAACTAAAATCTCTCCAGCGCATCATCAAAGATTTACAACCTATCCTGAAAAATGATCCCTCTCTCTCACAGATCTTGGGAGACAGACCAGTCCTCGCTTACAGACAGCCCCCTAACCTGAAGCAAATACTCACCAGCAACCACACACCACAGAACAAAAACACTAACCCAGGAACCTATCCTTGCAACAAAGCCCGATGCCAACTCTGTCCACATATTTATTCAAGGGGCACCATCATAGGACCTAATCACATTATCCATGCCATCAGGGGCTCGTTCACCTGCACATTTACCAATGTAATATATGCCATCATGTGCCAGCAATGCCCCTCTGCCATGTACATTGGCCAAACCGGACAGTCTCTATGCAAAAGAATAAATGGACACAAATCTGACATCAGGAATCATAACATTCAAAAACCGGTAGGAGAACGCTTCAACCTCTGTGGCCACTCAGTAAAAGATTTAAGGGTGGCAATTTTGTAACAGAAAAGCTTCAAAAACAGACTCCAACAAGAAACTGCTGAGCTTGAATTAATATGCAAACTAGATACCATTAACTTGGGTTTGAATAGAGACTGGGAGTGGCTGGGTCACACACATTGAATGTATTTCCTTAAGTTAAGTATCCTCACACCTTCTTGTCAACTGTCTAAATGGGCCATCTTGATTATCACTGAAAGTTTTTTTTTCCTCCTGCTGATAATAGCTCATCTTAACTAATTTGCCTCTCATAGTTTGTATAGTAACTTCCAACTCGTCTGTGTGTGTGTGTATCTTACTATATGTTCCATTCTGTGCATCCGATGAAGTGAGCTGTAGCTCATGAAAGCTTATGCTCTAATAAATTTGTTAGTCTCTAAGGTGCCACAAGTACTCCTGTTCTATTTCTGCTGATGATGAGTGACCTATCTCCTCCAAATCCTAAACCTTACAAAAACAGGTTGTTTCCTTCCAACCCAAACAAATCATGATGTTTGGAGGACTTAAAAATTCTAAAAAGAACAGGAGCTGGATGTTCTTCTGTAATCTTGATATTTGATGCATTTGAAGACAGGTTATGGGATCTAAAAGAAAGGTCTTGATCATTTGTGGTCACCTTTTCATTTTTGCCAAAGTGTGAACTCTGGTGTTTTGGCCCAATTCTAATGTGGGCAGTTATATTCTGCCTCACTTAAATCCTCTTTCAGGTTCAATTGGATAAAGAAGCCTTTGCTAAACTGTTGTATAGTGTTCCTGCACATTACTAAACACTGCCACATCCCACTCCAGCAGTTGCTGTATTTCAGTGTTGGGTGAATGATTTCTCTGTACAGCTTGTACATCAGTTATAGTTTGTAAAGTGTTTTGAGATCAGTCTGGCTGAAAACTTCTGTAGAACTGAAGCTCTGTTAAATGTGCATCTGACACCTGTGACTTATGATTTTTGTGGAATGTTGCTTAAGTTAACTTCTTGCAAATGTGCACATCCTGTCACGTTACATACTTCTCTGGAAGTGTCTGTGCTGACAGGAAACTATTGGCTAAATGGGACAGACAATCCTGCTGTGACAAGACTAGATTCAAGTTTCTTTGCAGAAATTAATAACCAGTGAAGCTAAACAGCATTTTGCAAATTGCTTAGAAAATTGCTGTATGATCCTGATATTATAATTGTCTGTTGCTCCCAAGGGACAAGAACTGTAGAATTGAGAACAAAGGTCATTTTGTGGCCAAAGAGACATTAATTTCCATATTTAACATGGCCAGGGCTTTATTGTAGTTATAGTTGCATCTTGTTGTTATGGCAGCAGAGCTCTCTAAGCAACATACAGTGTATATAACCATGATTAGAGTTGGTTTATTAGGCTGTTCCTGCTCTGTATCTCCAGAGTCAATATTCACTTAGAAGTAAGAGTCAGGATCCTGTGACTGGCTGTGCTCTAAGTGAATGGAAAGTCTATTTCTGAGAGTCTTTATTTGCAGTTCTCCAATGTGTAATATTCTGCACTTAGCCATAATGTTTCAGTTGGGAATCTCAAAGCATTTCACAAAAGGGGGTAGGTATTTGACTACATTATAGAGATGGTGAAACTGAGACGCTGAAGTTCAGCAATTTGCTCAAATACTACAGAACTTGGAATCTAGGCCTCCAATCTCCTAACAGCAACACTGGCTCACTTCAATAGTTCTTAAAATAATTAGTCCTAGGGGAAATTCTGTGCCAAAAAATTCTGTGCATGATATTTTCAAATTCTGCATATTTTATTTGTCAAAATAACACAAATATAATCATGCCAGTTTCAATTATTTTGATAATTTATTTCAAAATACCTGTCTATAACAGTACAGACAACAAAAAAGATTCAGGAAATGTTTTTTGACAAATAGATTCCTTACTAGGCATATTAATACAGAACTTTGAGTAATAATTTATTTAAAATACAATACAGAAAAGTATTTCCTGCACCCCTCAGAAGCCGTGCAAAGGCTTGGGGGAATCAGGGGTAATGGGGGAGATGAGGGAGAGGGAAGTAATTGCTGGGAAGGAGCCTGGGAGTGAAATTGAAGGGTTGTTTGGATTTGGGTGGGAGAAGTTTTTTGGGAGGGGGATTGTTAGAGGGTTGGGGAGCCTCCCCCTTACAGACCCTGTCTGACCTCTAGCCTCTCCCATAGGGGCAGATGTGCCTGAATCAATTCCTGTGTGTCCCACCACCCTTCCTCCCCATCCCTCAAGGAATCAGTTCTGAAGCACTTAGAGGAGAGGAATGTGATCAGGAACAGTCAGCATGGATTCACCAAGGGCAAGTCATGCCTGACTAATCTAATTGCCTTCTATGACGGGATAACTGGCTCTGTGGATGAGGGGAAAGCAGTGGACGTGTTGTTCCTTGACTTTAGCAAAGTTTTTGACATGGTCTCCCACAGTATTCTTGCCAGCAAGTTAGAGAAGTATGGGCTGGATGAATGGACTATAAGGTGGATAGAAAGTTGGCTAGATTGTCAGGCTCAACGGGTAGTCATCAACGGCTCCATGTCTCGTTGGCAGCCGGTATCAAGTGGAGTGCCCCAAGGGTCAGTCCTGGGGCCGGTTTTGTTCAATATCTTCATAAATGATCTGGAGGATGGTGTGGATTGCACCCTCAGCAAATTTGCAGATGACACTAAACTGGGAGGCGAGGTAGATGCACTGGAGGGTAGGGATAGGATACAGAGGGCCCTAGACAAATTAGAGGATTGGGCCAAAAGAAATCTGCTGAGGTTCAACAAGGACAAGTGCAGAGTCCTGCACTTAGGATGGAAGAAACCCATACACCGCTACAGACTAGGGACCGAATGGCTTGGCAGCAGTTCTGCAGAAAAGGACCTAGGGGTTACAGTGGACGAGAAGCTGGATATGAGTCAACAGTGTGCCCTTGTTGCCAAGAAGGCCAATGGCATTTTGGGATGTATAAGTAGGGGCATAGCGAGCAGATCGAGGGACGTGATCGTTCCCCTCTATTCGACATTGGTGAGGCCTGATCTGGAGTACTGTGTCCAGTTTTGGGCCCCACACTACAAGAAGGATGTGGAAAAATTGGAAAGAGTCCAGTAGAGGGCAACAAAAATGATTAGGGGTCTGGAACACATGACTTATGAGGAGAGGCTGAGGGAACTGGATTGTTTAGTCTGCGGAAGAGAAGAATGAGGGGGGATTTGATAGCTGCTTTCAACTGCCTGAAAGGGGGTTCCAAAGAGGATGGATCTAGACTGTTCTCGGTGGTAGCAGATGACAGAACAAGGAGTAATGGTCTCAAGTTGACCTCCTGAGGTCCCTTTCAACTCTGATATTCTATGATCCCCATGTTTCCTTGCATCCCCTGCCCATCATGTGTCAATGGATCCCACAGCCACCCCTCCCCTCCTTCCTTCTGTCCCCATGTGTCCCTGTACCTCCACTCATCCACCCCTCCTCCCTCATTCCCATGTGTCCCTGCACCTCCTATTCCCCCTCCCCGCCCCCAGTAGCAAATAGTATGAGGATGATTGACAATACCCCTATTTTTACGAAGTATGTGTGAATGGAAAAAACACATTTTCTTTCTGTAAATTGTTATAGGTTATGTTCAGGTGCCTGATGAGAAAGGAAGATAGAGGCCTTCATTGCTGAGTTTTTCCATCCTCTGTTGGAAGGAGGAAGGGACCAGGTAATGATTGTTATGCTGCAGCTTACCAGAACTTTTCTCACACAGATAAATCTATGATGGAGCTAATTTTAGGGACTGGGTGGCTCAGGGGATTGGTAATGGGATACAGAGGCTTTTGCTGTCTGCCTGCTAGTTCAAAATCCAGTTCAAGTTGGGAATGTCTGGAAAATGTAAAATCTGATGGCTATTCAGTGACTTGTGTGTGGAGCATGTTCAAGGTCCCTGTCCCACTCCTCTCAAAAAATCAACTATCACTAGTTCTGATCAGTAAAGTGGTATGTATTGGGGTGAGGTGCATGATCCAGGGAGCTGTAGATCAGTACTGAGGTGAATTGACAGAGCTATATAGTAAAAGTTCGTTTTGCCTGCCCAGGATATGCTTGATTCAAACCTTAGTACAATCAGTCTCTTTAACTAGCACAGATTGATTGACCTTTTAAAGGTGTATTAGGGAGAGGCTTTGTGGAGGACATTCGTCTATTTCTTTTTTGGCCATTTTGTTTAAATAAATTCCCTTGCATGCAGAGCAGTGGGCTGTGTCAGGAACAAGGATCCTTCTTTCTGTCTGGGTTTTCAAGAGTTACCTTCATCACCTCAGTTTGGAATAAGGCATTTACAGAAGTGTCATTTCTACACTGACTTACCATTACCACTAGGTGTCACTGTATGAAGTGACTTATTCACCCTTCTAAAACAGGGTAGCAAGCTCTTAAATTAAAGGGCTGGATCTGAATTTACTACATGCAATAATCAGATTAACTTTTATCTATTAAGAAAAAACATCTCTGGCTGAGGTTCTGGGGACAGATCCCTGTGGTCCTTTAACCAGGACTGAAAATCTTCCAAGGAAGACCCAGTTTCTGGAGTCACTTTGGGTTAAATTTTCAAAAGCACCTAAATAGTTTAAGAGCCTAAATTCCATTTTCAGGAGTGATGGGGGAACCTCAGTCTCACTGAAAGTAATTGAGATGCATTGTCCAAATCTTAGTAGTACAGCAACTGTCGGAGGTGAAAGGAAAAGCATTCCTGAAAAATGGTGTGACTCTTGAGAAGAAAAAGCAGCCTTCCTAATAACTAGAGAGGCAATGGTATGCAGTGGTTAGGACAGAAGATTGAGACTGGAGTTCTGCACCTGGCTCTGTCACAGACTTGCCAAATCACTTAACTCTGTCCTAGGTTACCCACCCATAAAATGGGGATAATACAAACCTACCTTAGCAGGGGAGTCATGAGGCTTAGTACATGTTTGTAAAGTACTTCACGATCTTCAGTTGAAAAGTGCTGTACAAGAAATGTTATATTCTACATTATTCGTTGCCAGGGTGGGGGGGTTATTTTTAGTGAGACATTAAGAGCTCACTTTACCTGCAGCAGCACATTTCGGTGAAGAAGATAAGGAAAATCTCTTGGTACCGATGATGCCAGAGTACTTGTGTAGCAGCACAAGACCTACTTTGCCTTTCAGTGACATACTCTCTTATTGTCCAGGGGACAAATTGGCTGGTAACAGTGGATCCTCCGGCCCCAGCCATGGACTTGGCTCTGAGTCATGATCAGCCCTTGGTAGCGTAGGGAGGCTAGACTTTCAGAGCATCCAGAACTTTCTCTACTGGTGCAGTCAAAGGATAAACCCAGCATGTTTTTCCTGGTTTTGCTATCTCTGGAGAGATGCTCCTTGACCTCGGCACCATCTAGCATAGTGGTTAGGCAACTCAGGGTCTCTTATGCCCCTTAATCCCAGGGTAGACAATGGCACTTCCCTTTTCCTTCATCAAGGGAATTTTGTTAATGGTAGCTACCAGATGTCCAGAGACAGGGACCCGTGGGTCCTATCCTGTACTGATCGCCTTATGAGAACCTAATCTGTTTACCCCCTTTTCCAGATCATTTATGAATGTTGAATAGGACTGGTCCCAGAACAGACCCCTTGGGGACACCACTATTTACCTCTTTCCGTTCTGAGAACTGACCATTATTCCTACCCTTTGTTTCCTATCTTTTAACCAAAAAGAAAAGGAGTACTTGTGGCACCTTAGAGACTAACCAATTTATTTGAGCATGAGCTTTCGTGAGCTACAGAGCTGTAGCTCACGAAAGCTCATGCTCAAATAAATTGGTTAGTCTCTAAGGTGCCACAAGTACTCCTTTTCTTTTTGCGAATACAGACTAACACGGCTGTTACTCTGAAACCTATCTTTTAACCAGTTACCAATCCATGAGAGCACCTTCCCTCTTATCCTGTGGCCGCTTACTTTGCGTAAAAGCCTTTGGTGAGGGACCTTGTCAAAGGCTTTCTGAAAATCTAAGTACACTATATCCACTGGATCCCCTTGGTCCACATGCTTGTTAACCTCCTCAAAGAAAATTCTCATAGATTGAGGCATGATTTCCCTTTACTAAAACCATGTTGACTCTTCCTCAACAAATTATGTTCATCTATGTCTGACAATATTGTTCTTTATTATAGTTTCAATCAGTTTGCCCGGTACTGAAGTCAGGCTTACAGGCCTGTAATTGCTAGGATCACCGCTGGAGCCCTTTTAAAAATTAGCCTCACATTAGCTATCTTCCAGTCATCTAGTACAGAAGCTGATTTAAATTATAGTAGTTTTGCAGTTTCACATTTGAGTTCCTTCAGAACTCTTTGGTGAATACCATCTGGTCCTGGTGACTTACTGCTGTTTAATTTATCAATTTGTTCCAAAACCACCTCTAATGATACCTCAATCTGGGACAGTTTCCCAAACCTGAGCCATTCTTTTTAGGTGACAGATCTGAGGATCTCCCTCACATCCTCAGCCATGAAGACAGATGCAAAGAATTCATTTAGTTTCTCCGCAATGGCCTTATCGTTCTTGAGTGCTCCTTTAGCATCTCAATCATCCAGTGGCCCCACTGGTTGTTTAGCAGGCTTCCTGAATCTGATGTACTTAACAATCTATTACTTTTTGAGTCTTCAGCTAACTGTTCCTCAAATTGTTTTTTAGCCTTCCTAATTGTATTTTTACACTTAATTTGCCAGTGTTTATGCTCCTTTCTATTTTCCTCACTAGGATTTTACTTCCACTTTTTAAAGGATGCCTTTTTGCCTCTCACTGCTTCTTTTACTTTGTTGTTTAGCCACAGTGGCTCTTTTTTGGTTCTCTTACTATGTTTTTTTTAATTTGGGGTATACATTTAAGTTGAGCCTCTATTATGGTGTCTTTAAAAAGTTTCCACGCAACTTGCAGAGATTTCACTTTTGGCACTGTACCCTTTAATTTCTATTTAACTAACCTCATTTTTGTGTAAAAAGAAAAGGAGTACTTGTGGCACCTTAGAGACTAACAAATTTATTTAAGCATAAGCTTTTGTGAGCTACAGCTCACTTCAGTTCCCCTTTTTAAAATTAAATGCTACAGTGTTGGGCCACTGTGGTGTTTTTCCTGCCACAGGGATATTAAATTTAATTATATTATGGTCTCTATTACCAAGTGGTCCAGTCATATTCACCTCTTGGACCTGTGCTCCACTTAGGAGTAAATCAAGAATTGCCTCTTCTCTGGTGGGTTCCAGGACCAGCTGCTCCAAGAAGCAGTCATTTAAGGTGTCAATAGAGCTGCATCAGAAAAGCTGCTCATGTCCTAGCATTATATGCTTGGGAAATTCCCATGCTCACCTATACTGTCCTTGGAGAGATCTTCAAGTTGTACATGACAAATAGTCATTGTCTTTCACAGAAACATCTCTGCTTCAGGGCTGATGGTGTCTACGTGCTGCCAACTGGATGGCTCTGGCTAGGAATCTTGGGCCTGATTCTTTACTGTCTTGAACCTTGTGTAGTTCTATATACCTGTGCAAATAAGGTGTAAAATGCCAGTGTTCTGATTTGGTAGTTCTTACACCTTCTTCACATGTGTACATAGATGATACAAGGTGCAAAGCAGTAGTGAATCTAATCTGGACTAAAGAGAGTGTATGCAATTTCACAGCAGTAGGCCTGGCTCTTCAAGCTGTTGAGCCTCCACTTCAGTTGGAGTTGAGGGTGTCCAGCACTTCTCAAGGGGCCCTTCGCACGTTTCAGGGTTAGGCCCAGTGTGAGTGAACTTGTGTATATCCCGGACTGTAGCAGTCATGAAGATAGTCTAGGATGTTGGATTCATTTCTATGTTGGCACAGTGTACTTATTCATGGATTTAGTCATGAAAATATTTATCAGCTGTTGCATGCAAAGGAGACTCTAGTTTTGAGAGTATGTGCCTACAGTCCCTTCAGCAAACAGCTGGCTGAGATGGACAGATGCCTCTTCTTTCCCTTTCTGCTCTGATTTCCCATGAAGCAGAGGGCAGCTCAGAATCCTTTTGTCTGGCAACCTCAAGTTCCTTTTCCAAGCCAGTTTGAATGTAGTAAGGATATGGATTGTAGTGAAAACAATAGCTACAAAAATCTTCAATATCAAGAGACAGTCTTGGCCACCTACCACTTATTAAGTTGGAAGTTTTGCAGGGCACAGCTAGCTTAGGTAGACAAAGGTACTGCAGGAAACTCCAACAGAACCCTTGCAATTACTTTTTCTGCTGTGGCTCTGGCATGCAGGCAGTTCTCCAGAGCCAGCATTTTCTGGCATCCAGGAACAAGGTCCAGGCCAGTTTGGCCCAGCTGACTTTCAGTGTAACGGAAAGCAATCCAGTCTGAGCTTTGCTGAAAGCGGAAAAGTTTTCACTCCGTTATAGAGCCAGATTTCCTGGTTCTTCCCCTGGCTCCAATGTTATAATTGAATTTATTGAATAAGCCCATAATAAATGTAATTTTTGCTAAGCAGGGTCAAAACACCTCATGATGGGCCAAATTTTTTATGCCTTCCCTGCCCAGTGCGCCTCCCCCCTCCTCTCCCCCCAGCTTGGGTGTGTTTTATCCTCTTGGCTGCTTTTGAATTCATGACCTGCTCCTTTAATACATTCCTTCCAGTCTAAGCAGTGCTCTCCAACTGCCTGGCACTGATGTTAATGTCTTGCTTCCTGATCAATCAAGTCCTTTGCACACTTCCTTAAAGGAAAACTCTGCTCATTTTATTCAGTCCAATGGCGCAAACATTCACATGGGTAAGGAACATTTATCACTAGGAATAAAACTTTGACACACGTGGGAAGGGAAATTAAGATGTTTATCCCACTTGGCATTTCTGACTCTGTCCTGTGGGCAGTCATTTTCCCCTAAAATTGACCCAGGCAATGTGGATAATGAGTAGCAGAGACTGTGTAATTTCCTACCAATCTGAATAATGGTTTGACTTTAATAAAGAGAGGAGGGAAGGGGGAAAAAGGAAAAAAAAAAGTTTTTAAGATAGTCAATTTCCCCGGAGTCAGTGGGTGTCGTGGGGACAGAATCTGGGTTGCAGTGTTTCAATATTAAAACAGTGGCCCCAATTCCTCATTGTCCTATGCCTTTTGTAGTCACACCAATATGTATAAAATGTTATCAGATCAGACTGCTTGCATTTTAGACCCACTTTACCTTGGATTACATGAGTGCAGTGGTGAGTTGGGCCAGTAACATGTCCTTTTTCTAATGAGTGTCAAACTGTTATCAAAGCATGTGGCGAAACGAGATGATAGTTCCTTCCAGTAGGCTTGCACTCTTCAACAAGATGGCCGCCATAGGAGAAGGTTCAGAAATGCCAGCTGGAATTGAAAGTTTATTTGAAAACTCCTGTTTTCAGTTTATTCATGGTTAAACAAAAAAACCCAAATCTTCTTTCCATTGGAACTTCTAGACTGTTATGCTGAGCCAAATGTGGTGTTTTCCTGCAGTATCTGCTCTTCCTATATTCTGCCAGTTACTAAACAATTCATGGGGTCTTAAGCTTTTTCAAAATGAGAAACCCATTTTAATAGAAAAATTGTCATTGGAATCACCTTGCCTCTGTGATAGAATAACATTCCTGTGCCAAATATAGCAGTTTACATGGAAAAGTAACATCAGGAAAATATTTAATGCATGTTTAACTTATTCTAATGCAATTTAGTAGCTAGAAACAAAGCAATCCAACACCAACTGACCAGCCAGCTGCCTGCAGGCCACCAGCTTATGCTCTTTGGATCACAACTGGTCCATAGATAAGCATTTTAATTACAGAGGGTCTCATATACTAGTTCAGAAGCCATGTTTCCCCCCACCCCAGGAATGCAATGCTTCCTCCTGCTGGTTTTTAATTCATTCTCCTAAGCAAGCCATTATTCTGTGACTATTAACACTTTGCATTTAACGTAGCCCCTCTTCTCAAGGGGATCTCAAAGCATTTTAACAAACATTAGTTAAACCTCTGAGGTAGGGTAACCTTTTATACTCATTTTATTGTGGTGCAGTGATTTTTTTTTTTTTTTCCCTTTCCCTCAGTGTGAGTCAACGGCAGAGTTGGGAACAGAACACGTAAGTGGGGATTTGTCTCATTCTATCCACGGGACAGCATTCCCACACTGTTTCCCTAACAAGACCCTTTATCTTCTGAATCCATGAATTATCTGGCATTGATTCCTCAGTGCTTGACTGGCTTCCTCTCACTGGTGTTATTCTTTATTCATTTACATGCTCCCTTACTGAACTGGCAATGTTTGACATCAGTGATTCCTCTTAAGTGAACTTATTACTTTCTGCTGTATGATAATACATAACTTAGTGCAAATTGTCTGTTTCATAATACATCATCTTACGTTTATTAGGAGTTAATGGCAAAGGTCCCACTGAATTCAGTGTGAGCCGGATCAGACTCTGAAGTGGCTTAGATGTGTGGTGAATAATCTGTCAAAGCCTCTAATTTAAAAAAATAAAATCAGTTATGCTGTTTTACATTCTATAGAGCCTTTCACCTCAAACCATGTGAATGTATGAACTGCCCACTAGTGAAAAGCAGCCATCTTTGGGGGATGGGGATAGTAGGCAGGTAGCCATTTTATGTAACAATTTAGAGTGAGAAGAATTTTGTTCAAGGACACTGAGGGAAAGCCTGGTTCATACAAAAACATACCCTTTGAAGTTTCACTTAAAGATCAAGACCTTAAAACTAAGCTTTGTCTCCCTCCCACCCATAGCAAACAGCAAGGAATTTACTTTATCTTATTCGGGGCTTGTGTGATAGACCAGAATGGTGATACTGTAGCTGGATCTGTTCATTCTGAGAGATTTCCAGTTTGCTTGTCAGTCCCTCCAGTGAAGCTGACAGACTCAGAGCCAAGGAGTGGGAGATGGAATAGTTGTTGTTGTTGTGTGTGTTTTTTTTTTTAAGGTGTGACTCAGGGCAATGAGAGGAGGAAAACCTGTTACACACAAATAGACGCTCTTACACATACAGTCTATAAATACTGAGCATAGTGTTGAACAGACTGTGCTTTTTAAAAAGGCTACTCTTTGGGAAAGTATTGACTAGATCAGCACTTTGCTTCAGATACCATGGGACAGATTTGATAGATTCTGAAGCTCTGATGTAGCCTTTGCTCTTCCTTATGAGGTAGCTGGGGTTCTGCAAACAGAGAGATGGGTGAGAATGGTAGTTGGCTGGCTGCAGTAGATTAGTTCTGCTTCTTGACCGTTCAGGATTGGAAGGTTACAGAAATTACAACAGCAGGATTAATAGAAACCAGCAGATCTATTACAATAAACTAAATTTGGGTTCTTAACCTATGGCCCTTTAGCACTCACAATAAGACTACATCACTACTTCTGCTGTTTTACAGCACAGCATTCAGGAACCTCTGTTATGAGGAGACGACTGCATTGTTCAGCTATATTTGAGTGTAGCATCCAGGATCCAGCACATCAGAAACCTTATTGCTAAGGTGCCCCAAGGACTCCTCGTTGTTTTTGCTGACACAGACTAACATGGCTACCCCTCTGAAACCTGCTTTACCTCTGCCATTCTCAGAGCTGTGGCAGTGACTTCTGGAAGTGCAGCAGCTCTTGAAGAGGTCCAGAATGCACAGCATTTAGACGTTTGCTTCTGTCACAATAGACCCAAACCTTCCATCCTGGGCTGATTTGATGAGATTGAGGTGAGATTTTAAAATAGCTGCAGCCCTCTTGATGGATAAAAATTAGTTGTTTTCCCATTGTGGGGTAAATTAAAACCAACTATTTTTAGCAGGATGCCAAATACTGCAGCTGTCCACCTTGTTAATGATCAACTCAATCCCACTCCTAACCATCTTCCTTCCTTACAGTTCTTTTCTCCTCTTCTTGGGGATCTCTGCCTAAAAGTCTTACAGGCAGTAGAGGTAGTAAGCTTAGAAGCATTGGCAGAACGAAGTAAAACATGGTCCCAGGAGACCCTATAGGTAAGGCACTGTAGCTATGTCACTGTATTCTCATAGTGTAGATGCTTTCTACAGTGACGGAACGTTTTTTTTTTTCTTTCCCCATTGCTGTCGGAACTCCATCTCCCTGAGTGACAGTAGCTAGGTCAAAAGAAACAGTCTTCCGTCAACCTAGCTGCATCTACACTACGGATCAGCTCATCGTAGCTACAGCGTTCAAGGGTGTGGATTTTTCACATCCCTGAGAGCTGTAGCAGTGTCAACGTAACTTTTGAGTGAAGACCAGGCCTAAGGATCTAGAGGAGGAAGAAACAACTTGGTGGGGAAGACTGGATCAAATTGGGAAGATGATCTGAGGCAGTGCTTCTCCTCAAAGTAGCAAAGCTAAGCTGCATCCCATTGCAGCCTGCAAACACCCCGGCAGTATTTATAACACACGATATGGTTAACTCTGGCACTGTGACACATTTGTATTACCTCTGTTATGCCAGAGTGAAACAGCATGGAAACACCAGTGCTGAGGTGGCATGAGGTGTGATAGTTTTTGATTTGTGTCCAGGTGTAGAAATTGTTTAAAGGGTGAGTTTGAACTTTCACAAGGTGTGGACTGATTAAATGATCAAGGATTAATAGAAGGGTGAAGCTACCAGTCAAAAGCTGTGACAAGAGGAATGCAGTCACAGTTGCCTCTAGTCAGCATTCCTAATTCCATTCTTCACTGTTTTCTTATGATGGAGCTGTTCTCTTACCCACGTGCCCTCGTCAGTTCCTACTCCATTCTTCTTTCTTATATCTTGGCACTCCCAGCTGACATACATGCATCTCCTGTTCCTTTGACACTATTCCATGTGGACCTTGATAGTTAAGTGTTGTTGTTTCCAGGGCCAGTGGTTTGCTATTGAGAAGGTTTTGTGTACAGAAAGGCAGAAACAGCCTAGAAGAGACTGTCTTTAACAGATTTTACTCCTAATTTCATACACACATTTTGAAGGGGTGGGGGGATTCTGTGTAGTCTACCAGGAGAACAAGCTCAAGGGATCTCTAATTAACAGGAAGTTAAGGTACTGGTATGAGGTCTTAGGTGAATTGAGGAGAACCTGTAGAAACAGCATCTAGCAGAAGAGAGCCATCTGGGAATATGTAGCATAATTTTTCCCCTGCCTTCAAGAGAGTGGTGCTGTGAATAAGGTCACTAGTGTGTCCTTCTGGGAGAGGCTGGGACTAAAGTATTATTATTAATTAATTAATTTTATTTATTATCATTATCATCTCTATGAATTATTTGTATTACTGTAGCACCTAGGGACCCCAGTCATGGACCAGAACCCCAGGTAGTACTGTAGGCGTTTTACAAAAAGATGGCAGTTTGAGAAAATGCAAATGGAGATCCTAAATCATTCCTGCCCATGAAGGGGTAGGATTGGAGTAGATGTGAGCTCACAGTGCCATGTGCTAGGAGAGGGTAGGCCGGTGGTATCTGTGAGCTCCCATACAGGGACTGATTCTACAGTACCAGTAGTTAGGAGTGATTGGACTAGGAAATTTTATGGGGGATGGCGGTGGGTGGCTGTGTATATATATATTTTTTTCTTTTAAAATTGTTAGTAACAAAATTGTAGCTTATATTTCATCTGTGCTTCATTTACAAGATTCATTCTATGTGTCTGTCATTCCTTCATTAACTGAAGTATTGCAACATACACATGCACACCCTTAGTAAGAGGAGTTCTTCTTGAAATAAGAAGACGATTGCCTTCAATGCAAGAGTTATGTCCTGAGTGTTCCCTATGCAAATTGAAGCAGCAGGCCTTGTGAGAAGGGAGATACAGGAAGACAATGAAGAACACTGTTCTGCTGTGATATCCACTAAAGGAGGTCAGCTGCTCACTCCTGTCACATAACATTTTCTTGTCTCCAGAAAGGTTGGAGTAGAGCTAGGCTGCTTTGCCACCTCACTCCTTTCCCCTCTCTCTTATCTAGTTAAGCCACAGCTTCCCAGGCTCTGCTGCGTCTGCATGAGATATGCATACCACACCCGTCTCTCAGCACACCAACCATCCCCTCCTGAAGGCATCCATGGGAAATCAGAAAAATGATGTCTGAAACCATTAGACAGAATCTGATCCCAGGGTGGGCCAGGACAGGATTACAAGAGCCACTGTAAGTTTTTTTTATAACAAAATGTCTCTTGGCTTGAAGTTTGATCACATACCTTTCAGTTCGGACTAGGACATAAAACTATATGTTGCGTAATAGCTTTCATACAAAATGTGTGAAATATAACTACAAAGTTCAAATGAAAGCAAGAGCCGGAAAGATGATCCCAAACGATATTTGAGAATTGAGCAGGTGAGTGGGGTGGTGGAATAAGAGACAAAGAGGTGAAAGGCTCTTCCAGGCAGTGGGAGATGCAAGGGAGAAGGTCCTTGCACCTGAAGGGGTGAAGGAATGGAGAAGTAGATTAGTTCTAGGAATCACGTTTTCAAAGTAGCTCAGGACCAGATGTCTCAAATAATTCCAGATGTTCAGCCCCTACAGTTGGAGGACCAGACTTTCAGCACCCAGCAGCTCACATTGTGGCACTTTTATGAACAGCTTTGCAAAAGAACTCTGCATCCAAAATCCAGAGTAATGGTGAAAATTTGGCTCTGACTCTGGGTGCTGAGCTCTCTTTAAAACTCTGGCCTACTATAGTGGAAGGGGTAGGGAGGGGAATAGAAGTGGATAAATCCTGTGCGGAAATAAAATACAATTCTAAATATCAGTTCTGCAGTCAGACTTGTGCGAGCAGACTCTTGCACCCATGCAGAGCCTTTGAGTTTACATGTGAGTGTAGGAGGTCTGCCTGCCTGCATGGATCTGATTTGCAGGATTGGATCTTATTTTTGTACGGAATAGAGTTATTTTCAAAGAAAATGAGTTAGCTAATTCCAGCTATCAGACAGTAAATGGTGTAAATTGCAGAAAACTGGTGCGAAGGCGTTGTATAGTGAATAAGTTTAAAACAATAAGTGAGGCCAATAGAGGAACAAGCTATTCAATATGATTAATAAGAAGTTTGCGCTGATGTGCTATGTGTCTCAAATAATTCCTTATTTTAGAACATTCAGGGTCCCACTTAAACTCTCCAAATCCAGGAGAAACCACGCTGCAGCTGCCATGCCATCACTTAAACCCTGTGTACTGCTAGCCACCATCACGGCAGAGAAGATGCACCAGGCACAAGACCAAGAGTACATGTGAGTCTTGCATACCTGGCCTGTGACTGTATGGAGTAGCTACCCTGCTTTGTTGTCCCTCTGTTGTGGTACCCATGATGTATTGGTTTTTCCACTGCCTAGAGTCTCTGGCAGTACCCCAGTACAAGATAGTTAAAGGGGGGGTGTCTGCATTTTCTGGCTTTTTTTGAGGTTCATTAATGCTGTTTGAACATATTTAAAATGTAGCTTAATTTCCTGTGTGTATTTGTTTCTATCTTTTCCTTAGAACATCCAAAGAGAGTAAGCTGGGAGTATAAAGCAGAATGGAACCAAATTCATCCACTGCAGTTGACGGTTACACTAGGGTCTGAATTTGGCTCAGTGTATTTAACCACATTCACCATGTTCCTGTGATACAGCTTTTAAATATTTTATGTGATTTGGATCTTGTGTGATTTCTTTTAAACTTGTAGATTTAGAGGTGCCTGGAATGCTGTGGCAGGTAGGTGATATCAAAATAAAATATATTAGTAATATGGGGCCTAACTTTGAGGTCTGTCTGTTCATTCCATAGGCTTTGACCTATGTGTATTATCACCGTGTATTCACATGATGGACTAACAAACTGGATCATCTTGGATTTTTTCTTATTCTCTACAGGCGGCCCAATGGTCCTGTTTTTCCCCCAACGTTTAACCCTTCCATTATTATTAAAGCCCTACACTACAGCGATCTCCCTTCAGGCAGGGAGTGGGGCATTGGATGGGACAATCTTTGGAAGCTACAAGTGCTGCTCCTTCATTTAAGTAGAGCCACTTCCAGAATCTGTACTCCTAGGGGCTTGATCCTGCAAGTAGCACAGTATCTCCTGGAGATACTGAATGTAGTCAGCCCATTAAAGTCCATTTGAGTTGAGGGCACTCTGCAGATTGGAGGATTTGCATCTAAAGAGAAAGGGTCTGATCCCTTTGGCAACAGGAGCTGGATTAGACCCTAAAACCTGGACTGGGAGTCAATTCTGGAGGTACAGAACATCCTCACTAATGGTTTGTGTACTTGGCATCAGCATGAGTTACTCTGGTTTGAAAAAAGAAAAGGAGTACTTGTGGCACCTTAGAGACTAACCAATTTATTTGAGCATGAGCTTTCGTGAGCTACAGCTCACTTCATCAGATGTATACCATGGAAACTACAGCAGACTTTATATACACACCGAGAATATGAAACAATACCTCCTCCCACCCCACTGTCCTGCTGGTAATAGCTTATCTAAAGTGATCAACAGGTGGGCCATTTCCAGCACAAATCCAGGTTTTCTCACCCTCCACCCCCCCACACAAATTCACTCTCCTGCTGGTGCTAGCCCATCCAAAGTGACAACTCTTTACATAATCAAGTCGGGCTATTTCCTGCATAGATCAAGGTTTTCTCACATCCCCCCCACCCCCATACACACACAAACTCACTCTCCTGCTGGTAATAGCTCATCTAAACTGACCACTCTCCAAGTTTAAATCCAAGTTAAACCAGAACATCTGGGGGGGGGGGGGTAGGAAAAAACAAGAGGAAACAGGCTACCTTGCATAATGACTTAGCCACTCCCAGTCTCTATTTAAGCCTAAATTAATAGTATCCAATTTGCAAATGAATTCCAATTCAGCAGTTTCTCGCTGGAGTCTGGATTTGAAGTTTTTTTGTTTTAAGATAGCGACCTTCATGTCTGTGATTGCGTGACCAGAGAGATTGAAGTGTTCTCCGACTGGTTTATGAATGTTATAATTCTTGACATCTGATTTGTGTCCATTTATTCTTTTACGTAGAGACTGTCCAGTTTGACCAATGTACATGGCAGAGGGGCATTGCTGGCACATGATGGCATATATCACATTGGTGGATGTGCAGGTGAACGAGCCTCTGATAGTGTGGCTGATGTTATTAGGCCCTGTGATGGTGTCCCCTGAATAGATATGTGGGCACAATTGGCAACGGGCTTTGTTGCAAGGATAAGTTCCTGGGTTAGTGGTTCTGTTGTGTGGTATGTGGTTGTTGGTGAGTATTTGCTTCAGGTTGCGGGGCTGTCTGTAGGCAAGGACTGGCCTGTCTCCCAAGACTTGTGAGAGTGTTGGGTCATCCTTTAGGATAGGTTGTAGATCCTTAATAATGCGTTGGAGGGGTTTTAGTTGGGGGCTGAAGGTGACCGCTAGTGGCGTTCTGTTATTTTCTTTGTTAGGCCTGTCCTGTAGTAGGTAACTTCTGGGAACTCTTCTGGCTCTATCAATCTGTTTCTTTACTTCTGCAGGTGGGTATTGTAGTTGTAAGAAAGCTTGACAGAGATCTTGTAGGTGTTTGTCTCTGTCTGAGGGGTTGGAGCAAATGCGGTTGTATCGCAGAGCTTGGCTGTAGACGATGGATCGTGTGGTGTGGTCAGGGTGAAAGCTGGAGGCATGCAGGTAGGAATAGCGGTCAGTAGGTTTCCGGTATAGGGTGGTGTTTATGTGGCCATTGTTTATTAGCACTGTAGTGTCCAGGAAGTGGATCTCTTGTGTGGACTGGACCAGGCTGAGGTTGGTGGTGGGATGGAAATTGTTGAAATCATGGTGGAATTCCTCAAGGGCTTCTTTTCCATGGGTCCAGATGATGATGATGTCATCAATATAGCGCAAGTAGAGTAGGGGCTTTAGGGGACGAGAGCTGAGGAAGCGTTGTTCTAAATCAGCCATAAAAATGTTGGCATACTGTGGGGCCATGCGGGTACCCATAGCAGTGCCGCTGATCTGAAGGTATACATTGTCCCCAAATGTGAAATAGTTATGGGTAAGGACAAAGTCACAAAGTTCAGCCACCAGGTTAGCCATGACATTATCGGGGATAGTGTTCTTGACGGCTTGTAGTCCATCTTTGTGTGGAATGTTGGTGTAGAGGGCTTCTACATCCATAGTAGCCAGGATGGTGTTATCAGGAAGATCACCGATGGACTGAAGTTTCCTCAGGAAGTCAGTGGTGTCTCGAAGGTAGCTGGGAGTGCTGGTAGCGTAGGGCCTGAGGAGGGGGTCTACATAGCCAGACAATCCTGCTGTCAGGGTGCCAATGCCTGAGATGATGGGGCGCCCAGGATTTCCAGGTTTATGGATCTTGGGTAGTAGATAGAATATCCCAGGTCGGGGTTCAAGTTGCTCTAGTGCAAACCCTGCCATATGCTGGTGTAGCACATCTACCTTGAGACTTTGCATCAGTGCACCTCTACTGGTTCAAAAATTGCTAATGTAGACAAACCCTAACCTATCCCTTAAGCCCACAAGGCTTTGCCTTCCTTGCCTATACCTGTTTCTAACTTATCTGTGTGGCATCTGAATAAATCCACAGTAGCTTCTTAGAGAGAGAACTCTTGGATTTCACCTGAAGGAAGGAAGAAGCTATGGTCCATCTAGTAGTAAATAATAC